TAAAATGCTCACTTGGGGTGTGAAAGGGAGGAAGCTGGAAACAAGGACAAATGAGAGACACGTCTCAGCCTATGAGCAGCATGTCTGTCTCCTCTAATATCTGTTTCTCTTCTGCTCCATTCAACTGAACAATCACACAGAACCAAGTGGAACACTTATTCAATAAAAGCTCTGTGTGCTGGGCACTTGCACACGCAGGCGCTTGTGTTGGGCCTCTGAGCATCCCTCGCTATTTATTTTATAAAGACTAGCAAGGCTAAATCGTATTTGTAGCGAGAGTTTGACAGCTGTCCAGTCATCATGTCTACAATCAGTGATTTAATTTTAAAGGAATTCTCACACTTGGGAAAATCAATGTTACAGTGTTTCATTTGTTTCTGAATTTCCTTAGGTTATTGCCCATACATTTTGTGAGTAATTTGGATCCGCGGAGATGCTGCTGACCTTACAGTTTTTAGCCAAAATGAATTTCCATGATCATTAGAAAGGCCGGAGGAAAAGGCTCACTGCCAGCTGGCAAGAGGGGGCCCTGTGTGTGCCCTTCTTGGAAAATTCTGGTGGCAGAATGAATAATATTCCTCCCCGCAGGGCTTCCCCTGGATGTGAGTGGTGAGAAGGAGAAAGTGGCTATGGGCATGGCTGCAGGAGCACACCCAGCAAACCTGCTTAGCAGGACTCCATCGTCCCTGTCCCTGGTGATGTGGCCTTGCTCTGCCATCCCATAAGGCCACATGTCCACACTGGGGACACATGCAGAGCAGTTACTCTTTTGATGGGTCAAGGGCTCCACGGGATGCAGAGTCAAAGACAGGACGTGGCAGAGCCGCTTGGGTTTGTGTCAGGGCGCCCCTGTGTGTGCGCGGTGCAGCAGTCTACCCACTGCCAGATGTGACCCAGATAGAACTCACATCTGAACCCTGCAGTTCGCGTTCTGAGCTCACATGCAAGCCCCGTGTTCCCTATTAGGTCACTTCCCAAACTGAGATTGTTGCCACGTAAGTGTTTCTGCCCGAGACCAGGTGTTTCACCAAGCGGCCCGTCTGAGGTTGTCGGGAGAGGGACCATATGTCACAGGCCCCGCTCCTCGGCTGTTCGGGTGGCGCGTCGGACCTGCCACCGGGAGGAAGGGTCCGAACAGCCCTCAGGTCCAAGTCCACAGCGATGACAAGCAGAATTGAGTCTGGTGATGTTACTTTTCTCCACCAAAATCATGGTGTTGCATTTTTGTCCTTTCCCAGCAGAGTCCACTCACTGAGTTGTCAACAGATGGAAAGTATTTCCCGCAGAAGCGCGCTGACCTAGGCGATGCTGGGAGCCGCGGAGAGACACTCCGTCAGAGGCGCCTTTTCCTCCCCTGCTCCCCTTCATTGGTTTAGGGCCGAAAGTCACCTGTGCTCAGATCATGACTTCAGCTTCTAGATTTCAAGCTGTAGGACGCACAGTGGTGAGCTCTGATAATCAAACTCCACTCCTCCTGGCAGGAGCTCCAGACCCCGCCTTCAAAGCACCCCGGCTGCAGTGACACTCATGGAGGAGGATTCTGGGCCACACTTTGAGGAATGTGTATTTTAGGCACATCTTGACTTTTACTAAGTTGCCGTCTATGAAACATTTATCCTGAGAGCATATCTGCTGGCTGATACGGCTCAGCCCCTCATGCCTTTCCTCCCCTCCTCAGCTGCCTTTTAGGATGATTCACAGATGCTCCTGTTCAGCATCAGGGGATTTTTCAAATTGTCCCATTCTCCCCCCCACACACACACACACACACCACTAGCTCCCTCCTTTGTGCGGGTTCTCTTGGCTGACCTGTCACTCAGAGTCCAGAGGTCGCTCTGCACTTGCTCCTGCAACCAGGGTCCTAGGGCCTCTGCCTCGTTTTCTCAGGTCCACGGTCACCTAAGAGTCAGTCTTATTGTTCTCCGTTCAGTCTCAGAAAACCTCAGGCCAGCCCTGTCCCTTCCCACTCCATAGCCCCATTGGGCCCTGGTGGCCTAACTCGGGGAAATCCTGCCTGCCTGAGAGAGAAGCTGGGGACAGGCAGAGATGGGCCAGGGCAATTCAAAGGAGAGAGAGAGGGAGAGGGAGAGGGGGAGAGGGGGAGAGGGAGAGGGGGAGAGAGCGAGAGAGGGAGAGAGATCATTGATGTCTCAAAGCTACAGATAAAGTCAGTGCTACCTGGCTGTGGAGAGGTGTCTTAGTACTGCTTTCTTAAAGGATTATTTTATTTAGGTGAAAATGATTTTTGTTTCCATTCCGGATATAGTACATTTGTAGTCTGTGACTTGGGAAACACATGTTCGATTAAATAACCTCTTCCAATCTGAAACTCTGTGGTTCTGTGCATCTCTTTCCGTAATCCAAAACTTGTAAGAGCAGCCTTGCCACTGTATTTTGTTTCTGGGACACTGGCAGGAGGATGCAGGAAGAAGCTAGCTGCCATTGATTTTGTCTCCCCCAAAAAAATAGATTTTAAAAAGAAAAGAGTCACATGGGAAAAGGAGTTTGTGAGTCACTGGTCAAGAGGAGTGTTTTCCGATAACTTTTGCTATTTGATGAACAAAAGCGGTGAAGGGTTAGGAGTCGCCCGACCTTGAACCTATTGTAAGTGAGTTTCTGGTTCTGAAATGTCTACTGTTTTCCGAAGGCCTGAAGATTTCCCACTCTTTGTGGAAGCATGAAAGGCGGTTTCCTTCGTTTGGGTCTCCTCTCGTGCTCAGACTTGGGTGCCGCTGACCTGGAGGGAACACGGTGGGTGGTGACCGATGGGGCGGGAGCCAGGACACCATTATGTACCCGGATTGGCACCGAAAGCCCACGCTGGGGCCGAGGCCAGTGGTCTGGAAGCTCTTAGACTGTAGCCGGGCTGTTGGCAGCCTGGCCGCTGCCCCTTGTTAACCATCATTTTAGAGAATTCTCAGAAGGATCAAGGTCACTGCCCACCACGCCCCTGCATGTCCCCAGTGACAATGCGAGCCCATTCCCCTAGCTTCTCCAAGACAAGTGAGTACTGGGGTGACATTTCAGCCTTTTGGGAACCCAACCGTAACAACATCAATCCCGCATCCATCACTTAACGACTTCAGAATAAAGGGTGGTGGTCACAGCAGGAACGTATGTGAATCAGGTGAAGAGAAGGTACCCCTGCAGGTCAGTGGCCTAGAGGGGCCCCCTCAGGCTGCCTCCTCGTTGGCAATTGAGAGCCGTCCCTTGTGAGTTGTCACTCTTAGCTGCTGGAGGTCAACGATGAGTGCTCTCAGGAGGGGTAGTTTCGTCCCACCTTCAGTCCCATACCTTGACAAACCCATCCGTTTTCTTGGCATGGGTGAGTTTTATAGTTTCTGTTCAACTGCCGGTCTACACAGAGCTGAATTTGTTCCTGGGAATGTCATAAGCCAGGTTGATGAGCCTTTCACCAACAGAGGGAGTCCAGGAATGGGTTTGAAGCCAGGGCTGGTCGATGTCCTGCGCTCGGGGCGTGGAGAGCTGGGAACAGAAGGGTCAGTGTCAGTAGATCTCAAATCTTCACGTGAGAAGGAACCCCCAGGAGAGCTAGCTGAAAAGGCAGGCCATCAGGTTTGTCTGCGGTAGTCGTCCTGGACCGGGGTTTCAGCCAGCAAGCATGACACACCTGCAGTGTGGGTGGGCCAGCCTGCCGAGGAGACATAGTGGCTTATTAAATCCTTGTCCTCTGTCCTCTTCTGAGATGTCCCTTTACCTCTCTCTCTAGGCTGCAAAGCATGGCCACGCCTCTTGTTACATAGAACAACTCACTGTGATAAAGGAAAGGGGGAACTTATCATCTAGGCTTTGAAAAGGGCACATGCAGAGTCCTGTGTGTGTGCCTTCAAGACCCTTGGAGGTCCCTTTGTGCCTGCACGCAAAGATAGGACAAACTTAGTGATGCCTCCCTCTGTGTTTCATCTAAGAATGTCACCTTCAGAACCTGGTGTGACCCAGGCACCTCAAGGATTGGGAGAAATAAAGGAACTCTTTAACTCTTTTTTTTTTTTTCCTGCTCATAATGTTGGTAACCCTTGTCTAAAGGCTTTAAAGGTAGGATATCTGTTGTTCACACCTGGATAGCTAACCTTCCTAAAATGTCTCCCTTCATCCTTGTGCAACTACACAGCCCATGCTCGGAAGGCTGCGACTGCCCTTCAGTAGGCTTCTCTTTATGCTAATGTTTATCTCCAGGCAGTAAGCCTGGCTCACCAAGAGAAAATAAAAACTTTAGATGAAATGTGTTATTTATAGTGAATGCAAAGCATCATTATTATCAATTCTTGTTACAAAACCCACAGGAAAAAAAATATCCTTTTTGTTATTTAAATATGGCATGGATACATTGAGAAATAGTACAGATGTTAGCCCACAGCCTCTCAGCTGCGTCCTGGATAAGCACTATTATGTTTTATTCTTATTTGGAATTACTTGTAATAGACTGTTATTTCTGTATGAAATTCAAATCAGGGAACACCAATGAATTGAGATGATTGATATTATATCTATATATACACACATAATTTTGGAATTGGAACAACAATAGAAATATTTCTCTCTTGGAGAAAAATCCACCAAACGTGCTGCCGTCTTAGGGATCTTGCTGAATAATGCTTGTGACTTAACTAGATAGGCCCCAAATCCACATAGCTCCTCACAGTTGAATTGAGCAAACCCTTGACCAGCCTGTAAATGTGTTTCTAACATATCTGCCTCCATTTTGAAAACCTGAAAGGTAACTATCTGGATTTTGGAATATCCAGCTTGCAGCCATGTTAAAAGGAAGTTACATGTTTGTGCACTTTATTCCACACTTTTATTTTGTGTTCTTTGGTAACTCCTGTTGTCTGTGTTTAAGTCTTTCATCAGCGTGAGATTTTGTTCGTAGCATGAGGAGAGAGGATGGCAGTGGATGACGTCTCTGAATGCAGATCTCGTGTGCGCACGTGCATTTGTGGGGAAAGTCATGGCTTCTTCCCCATTCTCAACTGGAGTAGAACCACTGCCCCATGGAATCCTGTTGTTTTAGAGAGGACAAAGTGGAGGCACAGGGAGCCAGCTGGGTGATTCTCGGTAGGTTGTGGAGTGAGTAGTGGACCTCAGGCGTTGAATCTCAGCTCATGGATTTTCTCAATCCACATCCTGCACGTTGTCCCAAGGCCATTGGCTGTCCCCGCTCCTCTATAATAAAATAGAATTTTGTTTGGTCATTTTGGCTCCTGAATTTTTCTTCTATCCCAACCTCAACATGTGGATTTTTTTCAAGCCTGGGTTAAAAGCCTTAAAAGAAACCCACTTCCCATGCTTACTTAGATCTCCAAATGAGCTTTCCTCTTTTTTCTCAGTCCCGATTCACCTGAATGAATCCAGTCTCATCCTGTTCACCTGTCAACAAAAGGCTGGTGATGAAGGTTTTCCAGGACAGCAGCTGCAATTCACTCTTCAAAATAATCACATCTAAGGGGAAAATGGACTGTCAGCTGCAGGGTGATATTCAATATTGCTTTACATCAGAACCACTGGCCCTTCTATCTCAAAATTCATCAGGCAGTCAGCTGATTGAATGCATTAAAAAGTGAGAAAAAAATGACTCTCAAATACAGCAAGTTCTTACCGTCTTCTATGTATCAGCTGCTGTACTAGGCAGCACAGAATGCAGACAGACGGGTAGGATGCGGCCGTGCTCCCAAGGAGCTTCCAGTCCAAAGATGGCAAAAGAAGGCGCAAATGCGCTCGACAGAAAAAGATGGTGTCCACAAAGAGATACAATTCAAGAATCATGGAGATAAAGGACGAAAGTGAAGGTCTAAAAAAGCTTTCTAGGAAAAGAAAAAGGACAAATTAGATTTTGAAGAATGAAAATCACGTTCAAGGGTGTAGGTGGTGAGATGCATTTTGACGAATAGTAATTATGGGTTACTCTAGAAGCATATGTACTCTGCACGGCTGCTTAAAGTGTAGTTTGTGGATTATTCCAATCTTTGTTGCTATTCCATGACAAAATAATTTTCATGCATCGAGTTCTTTTTTTTTTATTGAGAGAAAGCATTTAGAAACTTCTACATCCTCTCCTCCCCCCCCGCCCCCGCTCTGAGCTAGCTACAGACCAGTCTGAGCATCACCGAGTTTGTGTGCTCAGTCACGCATGGCTCCAGATGCAAGATGCGCGGCACTTACACAAGCACCCCCACGTGTGGGCCCATAACACTTTGGAAGAAAACAAACAACTGGTCACTCACCACAGATAATTTGAGAATCATGACTTTAGGTTGTTCTTCATTTGCCTTCAAAGCCAATTTAAGGGAGTTTTATACCTACTTTATCAGCACAGAGCTGTTTCTCATTCCGAATGTATTTACGGAGTCATCACTGCTTACCTCCAATTATGCTATCCCATTACAGAGTGGAAAAGCTTTAACTTTGTGACATTAGCCAGTCTCCCAGGGTGACAGTAGCTCAAAAGGGATGTAGGAGTCACAACATGTGAGCAAAATGACAGGGTGGGCTAAAGACAGATGGACCCATAAGTAGCAGAGGAGAGCAAAGGGAGTGCCAAGTGGTTCCCAGCCTGGAAGTTGTTAGTAAAAATAAGTTATCGACGCGAAGCAGGCGAGGCTGTGCCTCCGTGATGTCTCATGCAAATCCACAGGCACAGAGGCTAGAACTGAGTCCATTGTGTGCGACTATTCTTTTTGTCAGTTTATCTCTTTTATTTTCATTTCATTGTTTTTTTCCTCTTACTGTTCCTATTTGGAAGATGTTCTTCATTTTTGGACATTTTCTCTTCTCATTTCAGATGACTACACACTGCACGGCCCAGTTTTTGTTCAAGAACCAAGTCATGTCATGTTCCCGTTGGATTCTGAGGAGAAAAGAGTGAAGCTCAATTGTGAAGTTAAAGGAAATCCAAAACCTCATATCAGGTTTGTGGATTTATAAGCATGTGTTCCCAGCGTATAGTTTCTATTACTCAAATAAAAAAATACTCTTGGAGAACTGACTGCGTAAAAAGCTTTCAGACAGGCAGCATGGGGTACCCTGAGGAAAAAGAGAGGATAGTGTCCATGAAGTGTTCAGTACCAAGTTCTGTGTTATGCAGTCCTGGGAGTTAAAGATCCTAACTGACCCTCCCACTTGAGAGCCTTAACATTTCTTAACATTGTATTAAAAAAAAAAAAAGAAGAAAGAAAAGAAAATATGACATTTTAAAATGCACCAATAAACTGGCAGGAAAGTAAGAAACACTCAGAAGTCACAAAGTGAGTTTGGAGCCCAGAGGAGAAATTGGACACAACAAGTGGTTTTCACCTTGATGAACTAAGTGAGCTGGAGCTTGGATTTTGCAGCTTTACTGGGTACTAGGGCCACTAGGACAAAGCCTAGACTCAACCAAGAGGAGATGCTACCGTGAGAATGCCCCCAAAATAGACCTGAGTCCCACGGGCTCCATCCTTAGCGTAAATGTAACAAGAACCTAGCTTGCTTCCCTTCTAAAGGGAGTGTCGAGCAAAAGTAACTGCCTATGTCAGCCTTGGTGCCGAGTGGTTTTAACAGCACATGACACACAGCTGAAAGGAGAATTAGTAAACTGCAAGATATATCTGAAGAAATCACCCAAATGCAGCAGGAAGGAGGAGAGAGAGGGAGAGGGAAATTGGGGGGAGGGGGGCGGCGAGAGAGAGAGAAAACATTTACAGATATCTAATCAAAGGTCCACAAGGAAAGACAAAGGAGAATGTGATAGAGGCAATCTTTAAAGAGAAGGCTAAGAATTTTCCTGAGCTAACTAAAAATTCCAAGCTATATAGGTTTAGGAAGCCCAGTGAACTAAATTTCAAGCAGTACAATTAAAAATAAAGCCTCATCTAGAATTATCTTAGTGAAACAGCAGAACATCCAGTGGAAGACATGATCATAAAAATACTCAGAGCTGTAACGTGATGACCTTCAAAGAGATGACAATTAAACCAGCAGCTGTTCTGTCCGCAGCAACAAAAAAATGCAAGATGGAGCACAGAGCCTTCCATATGCTGAGAGAACTTCGCTGCCATGTTTCTGTGCAGCAGAAATGATTTTTAAAAGGAGAACAAAGTAAATATGCTTTTAGGCAGAAGATGAAGTTGGACTCCAGCTGACCCTCACTGAAGAAAATTCCAGAAGATGTCCTTTAAGCAGAATAGAAGTGATCCAAGGAAGAATCTCTGAGACATAAGAACAATTGATAAAGTAAACACATGGTCAGGGATAATGTTTCCACATAAAAATCAATTGCACTAACTAATTAGAATAATAAAAACAGTACTGTCCTGAGAAGATAAAAAAAGAAAAATTAACAGTCATGGCAATAATAGAAATAAATTGAAAAGTGATATACCGCACAATGGATAATACATATGGTTAAAAAAATTAAAGTTGGAGCCCTACCTCACAGCATATACAAAGATCAATCCAGGTGATCAGAAGGCCTAAATGGGAAATTTACAACACTTTTTAAAGAACTTAGGCATACATATGTATGACTTTGGAGGGAAGGAAAGATTTATCAAGTATGACAGAAAAAGCACAAATCACAAGAGAAAATATTTAACCTTGTTAATGTTAAGAACTTTGGTTCAACAGAATTTCCTGAGATAAGTAAAATTACAAGCTCTCAACTGGGAGAAGATATTTTTGATACTATCCTTGTCAAAGGACTAATAGTCAGTGTGTTTAAAGCGTTCCCACAAATCAAAACTTTAAAAACAATTAACCCAGTAGAAACAGGACCAGAACAGGTGATCGGGCACGTCGAAGAAAAAGAATATCAAATATCCACTAAACGTATAAAAAGATGACCAGTTCCATTAGCGAGCAGAAATATACAAATTGAAACTAAAATGACACACTCTTTCAAACCTACGAGATTGACAGAAATTTAGAAATAGTATTATATAAATACAAGCTGGTATATTCATAGCAGGTAATGGGGGGCAGTAGTGAAAATGAAGGCGTTACAGCTGCAACAACATGACTGAGTAAGCTAAGCACGCCGAGGAGAGTTCTCTGTTTATAAAGCTGAAAAGCAGGTAAGACGGAGCCGCTGTTTAAGGATAAACGTGACAAAATCATTACAAAAATCAAGGGGATGAAACCAAGATTAAAGATGATCGTTACCTGTAAAGAGGGGGCAGTGGTTCGAATCAAAATGGAAATAGAAGACATCAAAAGGAATGATATTCCTCTTTTGAGACACGGAGATTCATTGTCTCGTGATTCTTTATAACTTAACATATATCTTATGAATATTATTTTGCCTCTATTGAAATTTAATGATAAAAACTTCAAGCTAATAACCAATTTCTAACAGCATGTAAAAAACAAAAGGATACAGAACATAAGCCGTAGTTGGGAGGAAGAGATGGTAGTGATCAAGGAGTCACAGAAGTGGGATCTGACCTGAGATAGGTGGTTTCCAAATGGGCAGCAGGCAAAGGACGCCCCGTACAAGTTCAAGCTTGGGGGTATTAGCAGGCTGAGAATCATTGTAGAATTGAATTTGTGTGCTGATTCATTGATTCATTGGTTCATCAAACACATCATCATTCATCAAACTACCCAGTGTTTTCAGACTGCCCAGGGTACGTGAGTTAGCTCAGGAGTTACTGGGGGTAACTGCGGAGTTTCCCTGCCCACCCCCCTGCCCCCGAGGTCCCACCACAGCGGATCTGCCTTGAACTAGGCGAGGTACCAGGATCCTGAAGAGTGCGTGGTCCAGGATAGGTGTTAAACCGCCATGGTAAGCCCCACCATGTCCCAGGCACCACGCTGGGCTTGGAGTAGCCAGAGAGTAATAACCTGCGCTTCAGGCCGTGGGCTTCTGGGCGCCTGCCTGGAGGTGGAAGGGGTCAGGTGCTGAGCGCTAAGTGCAAAGGGCTCTGCGCACAGCCACGCTGGAGGAGACAGAGGCTGCTTCAGGCTGGAAAGGGGGGGCATCGTGAAGTTTCACAGAAAGGGGATCTTTAACTGACCCTGGAGGCGAATGATTTCCTGCCTTATGGAGAAGGGAAAGAAGAACATTCCAGAAAGAAAAAAAACAACTCTCTAATGGCCACATAATTAGGGTGAACATGTAATTTAGCACCCACGCCAGGCCACTGTTGGTAATTACTCTGGGAGGGCAGGTGTGAAGCCAGCACTACCCTGGACAAGCCAGAATTGTAGTGATTCTCGTATCAATGGTTGACTTCAAAGTTAAATCAAACATTTTTAAATGCTTTAGATCTTCAGGAAAAAAAAAAAGGCAGGAGGCAAGGTTCCTCATGCATAAATGATGAGTTAAATGGCCCCAGCGTTTAGTACACAGCCAAGTGTAAGTTCACTGTTAGCCATAAATGGAAACAAGTTCTGCAGCAGAATTTGGCAAGTTGCTGCTTTGTTTCTCCCCAAACTGCGACCTTTAATTAACATTACTTTTGTAACATTGTGTTTCAAGATACAGGGGCTTGCTTTATCATTTAAAACAAGCAAGGGAACAGAAACCTATTATGTTTTTAAAGACTACCAGGAGAAGCCAAGAAGAAAACTTTTAATCAAATGCGCTGACAATTGGCTGCAGTGGACTTTGTTTTCCTCCATCCCTGTGGCGGTTTCTCTGTCACGTAAAAGCTGATTGGTCCCTGGGAGCTAGAAACTTCCTCTTGTTGGAGGAGACACCAAGGAAAGCATGGAGCTTTCTAAATGTGTTTCTGCCTGAGCTTTTTCAGTGTTCAGGCTGATTTTCAGGTGGAATTCAAGGTGAGCTCTCCGCAGGGATCTTTCCTCCACATCACGTTTTCCCTCAGACACCCCACTGACCTCTCTCTTTTGAGTTTATTCCCTCAGCTGAGCCCGTGTTCTTCCTTTTTCCCTGCCCCTCAATTTTGAAAAGATTGTCCTAGACCCAGAAAACTTTGCGAAGTTTTGACTTGTGCCAAGTTTCCTTGTATGAAAGTTCCCCAAGGACAGGTGACATTACGTATGGCACTCAGCTTCTCTTTCCAGACGGAAGGAGCAGTCACGGACTTGGCTGGGGCACTTTTGCTATGAGGTTCGTATTCCACATAGTGTTCAAACAACAGATTCCAGGTCAGAAAGGTCCTGGCCTCCTTCACTGCCAAGTTGAAACAGTGAGCAAAGAAAGAGGGTTTTCTCTACCACAAATTCCACAGATGGCTTCCCAGCCAGGTCCGAAATACCAGACCTTCCAAACTGGGTCATGAATCCCCAAGTGATTCATAAGTCAGCTTCTGAGACGCCCCGATTCGCCCCGGCCCCTGGAGGATTCTGTCTCTATTCCAAATGGGCACCGTGTCTGTATTACCAGTACTTGAAAGAGTCCTCAAATATTGAAAATATATTGTGAAATTTTCAAGAGCTTTGCAGTCTGGAATAAGATAAGGAATTCAATGCAATCCACATTCAATTGGAATGAACGGTGGCTGCACTGCAATAAAACTAGGTCTAGTGCTTTGTAATGGAGACCCAGCTGCATTTTGCAGCAGGCACTTTATTTTCTAAATAATTCCTTTGCCTTTGCTCGTCATATGTAAAAGCAGACACTAAAGGAGATTAACGGACTCGGTGCAGACCATTTGCGTTGAGGCGACGGGTGTAGACAAACCCACCGAGGTGTTCTCATTATCCCCAAAACCACTTTTCTAAAAAGACTCCCATGGTCTCGTTCCTGAATTCCACACTCTGCTTGCAGCTCACATTATGCTGCAATTTCCTCTTTGAGTTCTTAGATTTGTCATATTAAATTGCTCAACTATCATTTGAAGTGAGAGTTATGGTTGAGACGTGATCAGCTGACGCAAAATAATAAAAAAAAAATGTCGAAGGCAGGCAGTCGGCTCTGGAGATTCATGTGCGAATAGACCCACTGAAATAGAGCCCGGCTGTTCTCTTTTTTATTGCTTATTACTTTCTTGTCTGTGTCAGAACACAGAGAGAATTACTCTCAAGCTTAAAAACAATGTCAGCCTCTAATACTCATCTTCTTATAAGCAAACACATAAAGAGCTATGGCGCTTTCCAGGCTCCTGGCCCACCTTCCCACCACTTAATGTTTATAAGATTTTACGTTTCAGAGACATAGATGTGAACAAACACACACCGCTGTGCTGTGGTGAGCCAGAGTGCTTCATAAATTGCGTATGCACACAGCGGAAATATCCAGCAAAGAAAGAAAATATCTAGTCAAAGCCACGAGCGCTTACGGAGCCCAACGAGGGTCAAGTTCACAGTCACTAAAGGGAGAAGACGGAAGTGACGCAGGCAGGTTCCCCGCAGTGAAGGCTGAGCTCCTACAGGGCAGAGCTCGGGGAATTCTGTGGGAGATCGGGGACAAGTTCCCTTCCCACTAGGAAGAGCAAGGAAGACCTCATTGGAAGAGGTGTCCTTGAAAGTGACCTTGAAGTGTGAGAGATCTCGACAGCAAGGGATCATTCATTCTTTGAAATTCTGGCTTTGTTGATACCCAAATCTTGAACCTGACTGGCCTGCAGTTTCTCACTTAAACCCTTCTGCCTTATGCACACCAGCCCTAGGGCCCCAGAGTAGGCACGTCCCCCATCCTCTACCCTGGTTATTGCTTCTGATCAATTTCCTTTGTGCTCCTGTGTCTCCCTATTTTGGGGTCTCCCAATGTGAATGCTACTGTGAGACTGTTGATAGGTCAGAAGCTCCAACTATGCTATTTTCATTACCTGATATTCTGTGTAGGATTTGGGAGGGAGGGGCAAGATAAGATAGTCATTGAATTGCATTAGCTCAGAAGTCTCTAAATATCCAAGTGAGTTACTGGTTAAGATAAGCTCTCGCTGAAATGTTATTGGCTATAAAAATTTTTTTTTTAATTTGTTACTAAAGATTTGCTGTTTCAATGTGTGAGTCCCGCTAAAACTAAGGTATTGGGCCAAACAGATACACAGATGAACCAAGTAAACAAATAGAGGACAACAGAATTTTCTAGTGGCTTCACCTGCAGCTTCCCAGGCTGGCTGGTTGATGCTTGAGTGCCAGCGGCCCCGGTGATCTTCCTTAAAGCTAGTTCAGGCCCTAAGACAGCTCTAGATCAATAGAGCTCCTCGGCTTTGCCGTCAGCCGTTTCAGTCATATTAAGGACCAAATCAAAGCAACTGGGCTGCAATTTCACCAAATACTCAGCAATCTCCCTCAAAGTGGTATTCCATCATCTGTAAGAGACCCTTTTGAAGGATAACTGCACACCAGAAAAAGGACTTTTACTGAGGAGCCCTGTTCGAAGACAGTTGTAGAAGATGCTATGGGAAATTTCAAAAAAAAAGAAAAGAAAAAGCAAAAACAAAACCAAGTGAAGTGCCCGTAGCATCATAAGTAGTCACAAAGATAAGTGTTATAACAAAATTTCCATACCATTTGTTACTGGAAAGGACACACTCGCTGCAAGCATTTAAGTTGTGGCCACTGCTAGGTAGAGCATTTCTAATGGTTGTGTTTACTATGGTTAAAAAAAAGTCATGCTGTTTCATGTTATGTATAGTTTTTATATGTTTTGGACAATTCCGAAATATCTATTAATATTACAAGGCTTTATCTACTGGCATTTATATACTATAGGTGGAAGTTAAATGGAACCAATGTTGACATTGGTATGGATTTCCGCTATAGTGCTGTGGAAGGAAGCTTGTTGATCAATAACCCCAATGCAACCCAAGATGCTGGGATGTACCAATGCATAGCAACAAACTCGTTTGGAACTGTCGTCAGCAGAGAAGCAAAGCTTCAGTTTGCCTGTAAGTAGTAATTATGTTGCGCTGCAAATGTTACTTTGAGTTTTCACACCATTGTACCAATAAGCCTGCAAAACAGTTTTCAAAAACCAAATAGATTTTCATTTGTTATATCATCTTCTTTACCCTTTTCTCGTATTGGAGAAATACCTTCTTTGTAAGATAAATTGTAAATCTGCATGGAGAGATGTATGCCTCTGTATTTATAACGATTGAAATAGTTTGAGTATATGATAGTTCAGTTATATGATGCTCTATACACATAGATTCCCACAAACACACTCAAATTTACACATATGTAAATTTACATATATGACAAATTACACATACACACACAATCAAGAGAGTGTATGTAAGCAAGCAATCAAAATGCCTATAGCTCAGTAGCCAACATGAGAAGTTTTTAACCGTAAAGCTCAGAATTAGAAAAAAAACACGGTATTCTATTATTTCTATAATTCTCTAATTTTTTTCTTATTTTGTAAAATAGGAAAATTTTAAAAACAGCTATGACAACAAGAAGTTGAGACAATTAAAGCATTACCTTTTACATTGTAACTTTTTATATTTTCACTTTAGAACATTTAAAAAACAAATTGCCATCTCTTAAGACAACCATCTAATAAGAGTTCATGAGTGTATCAAAGAAAGTGGAATTTAGGAGGAGCAAGTGGAAAATAAAATCCACAGGCACGGGCATACAGGCCTTTGAAGATTGATGACCAGCTGCATTTGTGAGGGTTTATATATTTGCATATTATTATGTATTTCCTTGTGTAAAATCCCAACTCATAGAGCAGTGCATTAATGTCAAAGGTTTTATAATTACAAAGTCTGTTAGCAGTAACACTGTAGAATATTCTCATTAACAATATCCTCTCTGGGACCTCAACATCCAATATACCTAACATCCAGCGCTTAATCTATTAGTGCCGATTGGTGGTTTTTTTATTAACTGAGAAACAAATTTTCTAAGTACAAGGTATATATGGGAATCCAGGATTACTTTGTTTGTGACTGTTTCCTGGGGGTTTTCTAAATACTCCCGGGTGTGCAGAATAATAGGAGACTAGTATGTCTGATAGAGTGCTGCAGAACTGAAGTCTTTATTTCTCTTGGTTTAATACAAGTCTAATATCTATACTTACTTTGTAGTAACGACAAGTGAATTTTGTTGGATTCATTTTGGGAAATAATCATAGAAATCATTGATGCTCAGAGTAGGGGAAACCTCTGTATTCAAGTACTCTGTACTTCTTTGATTCTCCCATTTCATACTGTAGGACATTTTTCCAATAAAAACCCAGTAATAACAACGACAAAACAGAGACTGACATAGCATTACCGACCTTTTCTTTTTCTAACTTACGACATTTAAAAAACTAATTCCCACCTCTTAGGAGTCTCTTTGTGAGAAAGTCCAGGCATTTCTACTACCGAAATATCTGAAAGGCAGACTCTCCTTTCAGGGTCAGCCATGTGAACACGGTAGTGCAGCCTCCGTGAACGCCCGTTCTGTGCGTGAGCGGGCCTGAGGACCACTGTCTGGACTCCACCGGCTCGCCCCACTTCCTGTGATGCGAGCATCCTGCCCCCTCAGCATCCTTGGCTGATAAGCTTAAGGTTTGAGAAGGTCTAAAGCTAGAGAGGTCACCTGTTCTGCTCTAGTTGTTCCAACATACGAAACAAACCCAACATCCCTTCCTTAAAAGTGAGCTAAATGTCTCAGTTTCTGTCATTCCCACTCCTGATGCTTACTGACTGATTCTGGTCAGGCTTTAAATGCATGACAATGCGATCATGGCCCTTTAGCTCATAATTCTTTCCTTCTCCAGGTACTTAATTTGCAACCATCTTCTGTAATACACAACACACTGTTACGTTCATGGTGACCGTGTGGAAACGTGCCCCATTCTGTGCATGCGCCTTGGTCTCTGCAGAGGATGCCGTTGGGGACAGTCACTGTCATCCATGACCTGAACTTCTTTTTCAGTGAATGCCGTTGACATTGCTACTCACTTGTTGTTGTTTTAAAGATTTTTATTGGGGAATTGGGGGGATGGGAACAGTGCTGGGGAATTGGGGGAAGGGGAACAGACAAGTTGCTGTCCTTTTGTTCTTCAGTCTAGTTGTGGAGGATGTTGCTTCATTGGCCCAGGTTGGCACCATCATTGTGTTCTTCCTGGGTGAGGCAGATCAGTCGCCGGCTTCTGGACGGCCGCTCACGGCGGCTGCTGGCCGCTCACGCTGGCTGCTGGCTACACACAGTAGCCCATGGCAACCCACTGCCACAGGGGCTGCAGCCTGCGCCGTCCCCGGCGACTCATGGCAGCCCAGCTCCAGGTTGAGCTGTTGTTCAGCGTCTTAGCTGTGGAGGGCAGTGTCACTGGCCCTCATATGTGGGATCCGAACCGGGGCCCTCTGGCATCCCAAGCCAGTTCTTAACCATCGCGCCACTCAGCCGGCCCAATACTCACTTGTTTTTAAAGCTCCAGTCTCGTTACTTCATTTTGAACACACAATTATGGAAAATCTGAGGATTGATTTTTCATGAATGTCTCTTAATCCTCAACTACCCAACCATGTCATTAACCTAAATTCAGAGTGTGATATTTATCCCTATTAAACTCACCTTCTGAGTGGTAACCCTTTGTTCCATCAAGGTTGAAATTGTTTTAAATCCTTTTTTTATGACATGTGGATTATCCTCAACTTTAGTGTCAGTGGATAATTTGATAAGCGTGTGTCCAAACAAATAATTGATACAATATGTTGACCAGGACAGGGCAGCAGGGCAGTAGAGAGCTTCCAGTAAGAGGAGACTGAGCTTTTAAATCACTATTGTTTGCATACCCTTGTTCAGTTAGCTGTACACTCACCCAAACATATCTCAACTGCACCCCAATGTCTCCCCCTTGTTCTTAAAGTGAGGGGAGTCTTTGCGGAACGCCTTGGGAATCAGGGTGTACTGTTTCGACATCAGCCACCGCCACCTGGGCTCTGTGCCTTTCGTCTCGGTCTTGCTCCAGCATTTAATCACAAGGCGGCCACCATAACCTTTTAAGCACAACAGCGAGGCCGTTCCATTTTCCTGCCTTCTGCCTTATCGGCACTTAGGAAACATCTCAAACTCACTGCCACAGTCCCCTTTTAATGTCTCAAAGCTGACAAACCATCTTTTGCGTGAGGGCCTTGACCCTTGCGTCCCCTTTTCCTGACACGCTTTTGTCCTGATCCTTCCCCGGGCTCACTTCTGAAAACCCGTGGTTCTCAGCTTAGCGGTGACCTCCCAGGACGAAGTTTCCATGTCACGCTGTCTTAGGAAGAAGCATTCCTGACGTTTCTTCTGCTCGGCGGTGCCTGCCTTCTTCCAGCAACACCCTGTTTCATTCATTATGACTGAATACAACCTGCATTGACTGTGTACATTTATTTACTTCTCATTATTTGACTCTGATGATAGAGTCTTTGTTCCAAAAGAGCTGAAACTGTCCTGTCCATCCTTATATCGCCAGAGTCTAGGACACTTTATGTGGATGAATACGAGAATCCCTTTATTGTCTGTTCAGTGACAGAGCAAAGGAAACATATGTATAAAGTTACTTGGGGGATGACGTATTTTTATAAACCCACGCCCTTTATATACTCGTCATTTTCTGGTGTTCAGCCTTGTGATCATCCAATCAACAGTGTTCAGACTTCTTTTTCTATTCTTTTTCATTTATAAAAAATCAAAAGATGTGCCTGAAGTCAAAAGTCATTTTTAAATGGTTGCAATACCAGACTTTTTCTCAGTGATGGGTGGTGAAGAAGACAATGTCAACTCTTGAATGTTACTGAGTGATTACTTTCACCCAAAGCATTTTCATCATCATTGAGAAAAAATGTTGCCTTTTGATCACACTTACTGCACTATAATACGCAAGTGAGAATATTTCTTACATTTTAATCATAGGATTGTATGGCTAAATCAGACCCTACAGGTTCCTTGGGCTGTGTCTTTAAAACATGAAATTGAAGATGCGAGTTAGTGAGTTACTCCTTGTTACTCGCACAGTTAAATGGCATCCGAGGAAAACCAGCCCGAGTCCCCAGTTCTGTCCGTGCTCCGTGGCCTGTCTCTGCTTTAGACCCACCTTACTCAGAAGAAAAACATTCCTTCTTCTTTATCGAACATGTCCCAGTGTTCAAATCTCATTTAAATACCTTTTAGAATTTATCCATAGGATAATCTTATAAATTAGGCATCAGTGTTTCTAGTTTGTGAATTGCTTTTAGAAATGTTTTTATGCTGCGTTTGCAGACATGATTTGGCAATCTCTTATATTTGGCATTTAAAAAAAAATGAATTCATATAAGCAAAATTCCTAATTAATGGAGAGGATGCCTCTAAGAAAGTGTTCCTCCCCCTCTTTTTCCATTCAAAATCTTTCCTAGAAACCCTTTCCTTGGTCAAACACACATGCCATCATTGAAGCCATTCTTGGTGAGCTGTGGACATGTTCGTGAGCAAGCGTTGCTGGAACGGAGTTTGGAACGCCGTTTCTTTCTCGGCCGCCCGGCCGTGTTAAGCCACCAGCAACCGCTTTCCTTCCTGTCACTTGGCCTGTGGCTAATAGTGAGCCACCAATGGCCTTCTACCATTTACTTCCCTGTTTCACCTACGGCTAGAAAACTGGGCTGATGCATTGTCCAGATTTACCCAGTGCCTGGCACTTAGTAAGGGTGTGGAATGAATGGACAAATAATAAGACTTGGATGTTAAAGCCATCAGAACAGGAGTTAAACACCTGAAGGCCAGGACTTTCCGATGGCCCTTGCGCGTGCTTGGAGGTGGGTGCGAGCATCTCCACCTTGAGGCGGTGGAGAAGACAGGTGCCATCTTAGTTCCAGATAAGGCAGGAGGCCTGAGCCTAATAAAAAAGCAGCTCACACTTGGAAGGCCTCAGCATGCATTTGTACTCTGCAAATTTGGCCTGCGAGTATGCAGCGCTGCTGTGAGG